ACATCATCCTGAAGACCGTGTGCTGATGAATAATGTAAAGACCGTGAAAAGAGGGAAGCACAACATAGTAAAGTCAACCAGCCTAAATGACAACAGAGTATAATTCAAGATGTAAAATCTACCAGTGATGATGAAGTAACGTGGCCCTACACTTAACCTGAAAGATGCTCTGGCAAAATATAAGAGTTTGAAACCAGTTATTTAGTGGATCAAGAATAGTACAGGAAATCCCTCATGGTAAACAGTTGCTCCATATGGTCTGAGTACAGTGGGATTCGTTATGCTTACAAGAGGGCTTTTTATGTCGGAAATGGGAAGATATCAGTAGACAGAAACAATATCTATAGTTGGTACTTTCACAGTCTACATTCAAAATGCTCTGTCATTTCTACAACCTTCCAATTGCTGGACATCTAAGTATTAAGAAAATATGAGAGAGTAGGATAATGCTTCTATTGTGTAGGGTGATGTATATCTGTAGAAAACTGGTGTAAGTCATTTAAGCTATGCTACGAGTAAAAAGGGCCATGAGAGAAACATAATAGGTAGCTATAGCAGTATTGTGCTGAATCACCACTTGAGAGAGTTGCTGTTAATGTGCTTGGTTCTCTGCCACAAAATAAGAGTTAAAATAAATACATCGTGGTTGTGATGAAATATTTCCAAAAATGGCCATAAACATAAGCTGTTTTTAACCAAAAAGCAGTAACTAGTATGGAAACTCGTAAGTGAATTCGTTTCAAGATTTGGGTTGCCTAGAGAATTTCACTCAGATCATAGATGGAAATTTAAATCAACATTGTTTTCAGAAATGTGTGATATTCTTCGAAACAAAAAGACCAGGACAACAGTCCTTCATCCATCTACTGATGGTATGGTAAAGATATATAACTGTACACTATTAAATTAATTAGTCATTTATATGGATGAACATCAGAAAACGTGGGATCAAGATCTTCCACTGTTAAGTATGACAAGTTATTGTACAGCAGTACCTGAAGCTACAGGCAACACACCATTATTAGATATACACTGCTGTTCTTTTTAAGTAATATGAGAGTATTATTCAGTTTATATTGTGCAAGTGTTAAAGTAAGTTATTTTTAGAAGAGATAGTAATGGTAAGTTTACTTACATAACTGATTATGAATCATTTGTTGTGTAGTTCATTTGTTGTGAATTGAAGTCACATTACTCGAACCTTCCTATTTTTTCTCGTTGCTTTAAATGAATATTGTAACATCATAACTTCTCGTAGTTTGCAAAACTTCTAGGCCTCTGTCGGGCCAAAGGCAACCACATTAGTACAAAGTAAGTAACTAAGAAAACTAGTGACAGCAAAAGTGAAAAAGTTAAGTTGGAGTGCATAATTGTGAGTTTAGCCATAAAGAGCATATAGTGGCGATTTCTAAAGTGAAAGTATCACAGCTTGTATTGTAATAACAGATATATAAGAATAATTTGTCTTGTCAAAAGGTGTTAAAGTAATTGAACCCGCCTATGTGGACGCTGATCACAAGAAGACAAAACTCTGGATACAACTGTAATAACCAATAGTGTAACGAATTTTTGTACATACATTTGACTTGTTTTGAATATATTATTTTAAAACAAGTGGATTGTGTACTGTCCAGTTATTGTTGGAATTTATCGCCAATAAGTCATCTACCATAAAGAATCTGGTTCTATAAAACCTAAACATCACCACTGATGTTTGGGAAAAAAACTTTGTTTATAGTTAAGTACAAAGCTACAAAATGGGTTATCTGTATTGTGCCCACTCTAGGTGTAGAAACCTTGTTTTAAATGGTATAAATCTGCAGACTACAAATGTGCCACCAGAGGGCGGGAGAAAACTTAAAGTGTAAATGGATCTTCCATACTCACATCAAGAGGATAGACAATTAACAGAGTCTTAAACATAATATGTGGAGATTAAGAAACACCATTGATATCATAGATAATTTTGCTCAGGAAAAACTTAAATCAGCTAGTGATAAAATGAAAAGTCACTATAATGTTAATATGGATAAGGTTGGATTCCATCGAGGTGATATGGTATTGTTGTACCATCACCGTCACAAGAAAGCACGAACTCTAAAATATAGCAGGTGCTTGGAAGTAGTATATGTTGTAGGATGTAGTTTTAAAAAATCCAGAAAGACAGGTAATCCAAGCGAATGTCATCCACTGTGAGAGAACAGCAAACTTGGTAACTGCAGAGAAGAATTTGCAAGTGGAAAGTGAATCTGAACAGATAGTGGCAATAAGAGGCAAGAGATCATCCTAGCTCTACTAGTAGGGCTGATAAATTATTTAGATTTGTTCAGATAGCCAATAGTAAAATAAATGCAACAAAACACACCTCTAACACAAATATAAACTTATGCACCCAAGCTGGCTACATATTCACGATGAAAGAAGAGTTCCGAAACATTAATATTTAATAATGAATAATTACATGATCTAACATGTGACTCACATAACGGACATCTTGACATAAAATTTGAAAGTAACCTGTATCAGCACTGCACTATTGAATATGTGCAATAAACGACACAAAATTAACACAGAATAACATATGGATATGAAGTACGAAGCTAGTTATAAATTGGGAACACAGAGCACCATTTTTGTTTTATGACAAACGAGATGGACACATATGAAAAAGCTAATCTACAAGTAGACGGGAAATATAAGGCAATAGAGAAACGGTTGGAACCATTATAGCCTCGGTGTTATAATACAGCACACTTTTATAATTTTACCAACAGATTGTGGAAATAGTGACATTTTGACATTGTTAGTAAGCAGTACAAAACATACCTTAAATATTACTAGTGAGTGAAAAGAAGAGCTAAGGTACCACCTGCATACCATGGGCTTTTGAAAAGAAAATCACCAAACTTGGTAAATAGACAGTTTAGTACGCTGTTCTATTTGTATACTATTAGGTCTGTTCAGAGGACTTCACCGTCCAGGAAGGGGGCAGTGTTGTAAGCTACATTTGTAATATTTTAATTTAGAATATCTGTAAACTGCAACATGTTTGTGGTAGTTATCATGCCCTTCCCTTGAACTTTCCTTATTCTACCAATGTGTTAGATTGATAAATCTTGGTGTATTTGAAAAAAAAATGTAGTGAGACAAACATACTCTCATAAATGTAACCTTATTTAATAAAGAATGAAGTAAAGTGATGGTATTTATAATAGTGCACAGCATATGAAACAATTACGGACACTCAGTGTATGACACAGTTTAGGGGTTGAAACAGAAAATCACGAAAACGAAGAATAAAACCCATAGTACAGAAAAAAGTAACCAAAAGGTGTTTATAGCAGTCTATGAAACGAACCAAAGCTAAATTGTTGCAAGGTAAAATATATGTAAAGTGTAATGAAGGCAAACTTAGCTGAATATGCAGAAACGTCTGAATTGGTGTTAACAATGTGATAAGCATACGGTTTTGAACGAACTGCGAATATGTATTTTAGACCTAAATAAGTCGAGAAAGCCCATAGCAATTATATTTAGTATAAATTTAATTTTTGTTTAAGAAATTACACGCGGGCTAAGTGTTCTTTGTGTGAAATACTTTACAAATAAAAAAAACAACTAAAGTTGAAATCGAAGCCAGTTGTCACGTGATGACAACTACATTTTGGCATCATGTACAAATACCATACCATTTAATTAAGCAAAAAAACAAATAAGAGGATTCTGAATGGAAAAGTCAATAGGTAATCCCGACTCCTCGAACAAAGGCATTTCTAACAATATTAGATTTGTATCGTTTGATCGAAAAATTTGAGAGAAACGTTCTGGACAGACAAACGCAAACGTGTTATTTACATAGAGGTTTATTTACTGAAGGAAGCTACTCATGATCATAATGCAATATATCCAAAACATACATGGATGGTAAGGCCTCTAAAATGTGGAAATTTCCTGCAGTACATTGAAACAAAGGTACATTATAAATAAGAGAATTGGTGAAGCAGTGAGTTAATGAGTATTCACCGAGTGATTCTGTTAGTGTTAGTAGACAGAATTATATCGTCTATTCAGTTACCCGATCGATTAGCGTGCAAGTTTATTTACGGGATTGGCGTATCGTTTCTATTGAAATGTTATTTGTGATCTGATGCCTAGCAATTGCGTCAAACTCAAAGTGAAAGTAACTTGTGGCAAACGTTATTGAAAAGATAAATTCGTTATAGTTACGTGGACTTAAAGTTTACAAAATAATAAAAAAGAATGCCCAACGGTAAAATAAGTTACAATATCCTCATTATCACAACAATTGAAATAAGACATGGATTTCTGAAGATATAGTTAATATCCAGCGACATATGAACGCACATGCTGGTGAAATAGAAAGGCCAACAAATTATATTTAAAATGAAAAAATTTAGTGGGCATTTTTATCACATGATACATTTCACGTAAATTTTGACTCAATATTTTGAATCTACATAGTTTTATACCTTTGTTTGTATCGTACTTAATATCCTTTGCATAGATTTAAATAACCTAATTAAAAATTATTTTATTTAATTTTTATATTATATTCCCTTATCGTTTGCTATCAATGCTATAAATACGCACAGTATTTGTCAGCACGACTATTGCTATATTATAATTTTAAAAATAAATAAAAAAACTACTGTCGATTAATTAAAGATAGTAATGGAGTATTAAAGCAAAATTATTTAACAGTATATTCTAAAAAGTACAAAATCTCAAAGCATCATTAAATAGCGTTTTTGTTTCAAATTGTTTCGTCTTTGACATTGTCAATGAGTAAGTATTATTATTAAAAAAAATAACTGTTGGCAACTGTTTTAACCTCAAGCGAGCCCTTAATCTTATGAATTAGTTGTTTATTAGAACCAATTTTTAATGCAAACTTCCTTGTAGACGAACATTACTCTTGGAAAAAAGTACAGGCACTGACCCCAAATTAATCAATTCTAAATTATAATGAAAATACTTACGTCAACTCAGGAATAGACGGCAATAACTTATAAAACTATACCAGCTTAAATATCTACTACTAAACTCTAGTCTGTTTCCGAACTCAACCACACCCACATGTTACTCTGTCAAATAAACTTGATAACGCCTAGAGGCCTTAGACCTTGAAAGTTGTACATGTACAATCACGTGCTGTCACATGCATTCCATGCCAAGCCTGTTAATGTCCAACAGATAAATGTGAATAGAGAAACAGAAATTGCAGGTAGCAAAAGCACTGCTGTAAGTTTTTGTTGATTAGTTATTCAATTCAGTTGTTTACACGCGCAGAACATTGTTGAGTAATAAATACTTTTATTGTGACATCATAAAAGCCGTAAAATTCATGTGATTGAGGTACGTCTTTAAATTTGAACAATGGTAAATGATTACATTCATGCAGTATCTTACTGAACATTGATAATAATCATTGGTCACGTGCTTTGAAATATATTTATTGTCGCTAATCCTTCTGATTATTTTAGTCACCCATATTTGTTACCTTTATACCCATTTGTTCGTTTGGTTTCTTTTCACAGTCATTTTTTCACATTTTTATATTAAATTCCCATACCATTTTATCGTTGTATTTCGTTTAACCATATTATTTAAAGCAAGCGTTCATTCTTTCATTGATTTCATATCTTTACTTTGTGCCTGTATTCATGTTCTACTTTTCTATTATTTTAAATTAGTTTATCTATTATAATTTACTACATATTTTTTTACAATTTACCGGTAAAGGTATTAATTATATTATCATTTTTATATTATTTCCCTTAGCTTGTTTGTAGCTTAAGAATTTGTTCTCGGGCCTTCAAGCACGTGTTATTTGTTTTTCTTTCGCCCTAACTCTTCTATTAACGTGTTACGTCTCTGGTCCTTTGTTAATTTCCCGTAAAAAAATTTTTCCTAAGAACTTCAGTGATACAACTCCTTTCTTAAATAAAACTAGTTTATTTTTTCTCAATACAACTTTGCAATCCACTTAATTTCCACAGTCACTTTTACTTAAGTGACCGTAAGTAAAGTGCGTGAATCGTTGTGAATTATAGCGTGGAGTCAAGTGAGCGGTACGAGGTAAGCCAAAAGTGGTGCATGCCAACATACTTTGGCATTATCACAGTTCAGGACATTTCAGTTGAGACGAAGTGAACAACGGAACAAAAGATGCCGCTGAAGACGTGTCACCTGGAAAGGCCACTGTCGAAGGAGATACTCAACTCGGTTTTGAGAAGGGAAACAGTGAAGCCCTTGATGAAGTTACTACCACTGATGTGACTATGACCGATAATAGGACAATTCCTGATTGAGCAGATGAACTTCACGTGAAGCAGAAACCAGTACGGAAGAAGATAGGTCCCGTAAAATTAAGAGACTTTGTTGAAATTTTTGTATTTGTAAATCCTGTATATTTAATTAAGTTATTGTTAATTATCTATTGGTTTAACTTAACTGGCTATTGTTCGGGACGAACAATACTAAGAAAGGGGCAGTGTTACGACAGCGGAATTCACGTGACGCTGGTAACACGTAATGACTATCTAGAACGTTCGTGAAGGCTCGAGTGCTTGCCAGACACGCCCTCTATTTTGTATATATAAGACCGGCGAGAAGTGACGGCATGCAGAATTGAATTGCAGATAGCAGAGAGATATAGAGACAGATAATTCCAGGAGACAAGGTGTGGTTGTATAATCCCAGGAAAACCAAAGGGAAGTCTCCTAAGTTGTGTTCTCCATGGGAAGGCCCATATGACATTGTGGATCGTCTCTCAGACATGACTTTCCAGATAAAATGTGGTCAGCGAGGTAAGCCAAAGGTGCCAACAGGCTTTGGCATTAGTTCTAAGCTGACTTCAGTAGATCTTTTATCATAAGATAGCTTCATCGAATCAGCAGACGTTTTCAAGTTTGAACGCACTTCATGGTGAATATCATCCATCCTTTCCGATAACACTTTCACAAACTCTGACACATTCTCAGGCAACTCTTCATAAGGTGGGCGTCCTGTTAACAGATCTACTGGCAACCGAAGTTCCCGACCAAACATCAACTTTGCTGGAGTGTATCCAGTGGTTTCATGCTCTGCTGTCCTACAGGCCATCAACAGCAGAGAGAGTAAGACATCCCAGTCATCTTGACAGCTATTACAAAACTTTGCCAATTCCTGTTCCAGCGTCCAGTTGTACTTTCTACCATCCTACCAGAGTGTGGGTGCAGTGGCGTTATCCTGGTCTTT